TCAAAACGCAGTCAAGATGCACTTTTCATAAAATTAGGCTCACTGGTCATGTTTCTTTTACTGCTGTTTCCCCAGGTGAATGGAGGTTTATTTAAGCACCATCCATAGATATTGGAGAAGGCTTGTCAGCAGAAAGACTTAGAAACACAACTTGCAGCACCCTGCACTTCAGTGACGGTTTTGAAAATATCCAGTTTTGAAAATGTCCCGTGATGTGGCTGGGTGATGGGCAATGGATATGCTGGATGATTGGTTCACAGTACCTAATGTGTTGTTAACCAATGGCCTTGGATTTTTGACATAGCACAGCACAATAGCTTGGAGAAAACAAACAGCTACAGCTTTGTTGCTTGCAAACTGGGGAAATAATCTGGCCAAAGATAAGCACTTGAATGTCCTGGTGAAATAAATCAAGTACTATACATTTCTATTCTTTACTTGAAGAATCTCATTCATCTGGTAAGAGCATGATCTGAAACAACCTCATATGGCGTTTTCAGGAATAAGCAAGGACCAGATTTAGGGTACTTCCACGTGGAGGACTCTAGTCAAGTTCCTTTGTGCAGCTATCTCATCTTTTCCATCTTAAGGTTCTGTTCTGTTCTCTCTTTCTCTTTGTGGAAAGAGAAAGGGAGGAAGGAGAAAAATGTAGGAACACATAGGAGGATTACAGATGGAAAACATTGATATCTGGACCCCCTCTCACCATAAAATTCAATGGATAAGGGACCATGACCGCATGATGAAAGCCTAATCTAGAATAGTATCTACATTATAAAAAGAATTTGTTTAGGCTACGTATGTCAAGTACACTATTGAATAGCTCTGAATGTTCCTTAAAAACAACCACCTAAACTGCATGTATTTACATAAAACCAAAGCAAATTCATTGTCTAAATGAAGCAAAATAATTATATCTGCTTGCATAGTAAAGGCTCATTGATTCTATGGTGGTCAAGGTTTTAACAAGGGACGCAATCTGCAGAAAGTTAGGAAGTGCATAAGGGTGCATTACTGAGAGACTCCATTCCATACATTTCGATGGCACTTAAGCACATATAGCTTTTTCTTAGTTGTGTCCATGCATTTTATTAGTGCTATCATTTACCAGATAAAAGCTAAATGTGTAAATGACTAAAGTGGTAGTCTTGATGTGAGCAAGAAATAATGGTAGACCAAAGAAAAAAGAAAAAGAAAAAAAGCCACTTAATTACACTTTATTTTAAGTATACTTGATTCTATATAGAATAATTTTCAAAATTCTGATTTTTATTGAATTTGATATAGTCAGATAAATATAGAACAAGTTATTTTCTTATGCTAACAATAAAAATATATTTTGATAAAAGAATATGGTAAATGCGAGTGCCTATTCTAATTGATGCTACATCATATAAACTGATTTTATCAGCACAGAAATTCTGCTGAAACCAATTTCATGGCTCCAGATACCACTGAAACCTCAAATATTCCCATTTTAAATACACAACCATTTAATCACACAGATAACAAAGCATCCCAACCAACAAGAAAGGAAACTAGCAATTAAATGCTGACTGTGTATATGTTCTGAATTAGATTAGAAGTTTTAGATTGAACCAGCTATCCACAAGTGTTAATCACTCCACCATTTCACCATTTCAGGACTAGCTAATATAGCCCTTTATCACAAAATTGCCGTTGCACCAACAGCCAAGGAAGCAAGTGCCTGCTGCTGAACTAAACTTGCCATTGAAGGCAAACATGTTTTCCCTCATTTCTGGATGATAAGATAAAATGAGCTTTGTGGTAATTATTTTTATCCTAAACAGGTAGCAAGATTGAATGTTATGCCTACTGGCTATTGCTTTCGGTTCATTTAACATAGATTACAAAGAGTCTGAAGCTTTTTCATTGCATCGATTATCATCGGTACGCTGTACTTATCCCCAGCTTGCAGTTAATGTTAGAGCAGCAAAAGGACCATTGACTTCCAAAAAGAAAAAAAAATCCCTGCCTCTCCAACCATATTAAATTGACTGTAGTATATATTTAAGAATGTGAGTATCCAATAGATTTCTAATAGATCTAAGTTAGTTAATACTGTAAGTATATCAAGGATGCAATCCATACATCCCACTGAAGTTACAGCAAAACTTGATTTCTTCTCATGAAACCAACCCTACTTTATCAACTTATGCTATGATAGTTTGACTTTATATTCAAGCAGTTGCTGCTAAATACTTTTTAAAGATATGTAACAGATATGATCCTCTTCCCTCCATCCTAATCTATTTGGCTATTATTTTCCTAAGGCTGCATTTGCAACTACATATTTTTGAATACTCCCCCCCCAAAAAAATCCTATAGAAATTGATGACACTACACCAGAATTAATTATTTAACTATTTTTAAAAGATAAATGCAGCAAAATCTGGCCTTGCATAGTCAAAGCATTGTGCTTGTATTTAAGATGTTTTAAGCATTTAAACACTTTTTAAATAAACTATCTTCTGATGACAATGTGCTCTGAAAGGTAAGAAATCCATTTAATGAAATATAAATAAAACAATACTGTATGTGTTGGCATGTGTGCATAAATCAATGTCAATATTAGCTAATATATGCATGCTTTACTCTTTCCATCTCACATTGATTTAATAGTAAAGAGGACTTCTGAGTGTTAGATCTCTGATTTATGTTAAACTGAAAAGTCAGCATTAGCACGAGTAGATTACTGCATGCCAGTATAACCAACCCTACTATAGTTTCTGGGACACCAATTAAATTGTAATGCCAACTGGCTAAATTTTTAGTCTTGGAGGTAACAATGAAAGTACTACTACCTTGTTAAAAAAAAGTTCAATGATTATAAACTAGTTTTCCTTACTCCAGTGCCTTCCATCTGTTCCAAACTACAGTTCTAGCATGCCTAATAATCAGGGATGATGGGAGTTACAATTCCAACCATTTGGTGGGTGCCAGGTCGCAGATTCATTTTAAACCAACAGTAATGTAGCTAGTGCCCCTGTTCCACAGTCTAATCACAATAAAACAGAAGCACTTTGAATTAAACTCATTTAGACCTCTTCTGATATAACTAAATAAAATAAACACACATTTTAAAAGAATGTGGATCAAGGAATTGGTTAAGCAATTTATCCTTTTATCATGCTAAGTCAAATAAGAAAGAAATTATTTGGATAAAAACATTACTGGAAAATGTGAAAAGGTCTACATTTTCACAACGATATAGATATAGGGATGGATTCAGACTTAGTCAGACTTACAACCCCATCTTACTAAGTTAATTTAATTTATATGCAGTTTCCTCCATAAACTGTAATTAAAACATTGATAAGAAGAAATGACAACTTTCCTGCTAGCAGGTACCAAACTCCTGCTATTTGCTGTGGGATGGGAGAAATAATTGTACAAGACCAATGCATCATAGCAGTCTATTAACTGATATATATTGGTATATTGCTAGCATTTTCCAATAAATTAACATGTGCATGGAAGAGAAAACAGAAGTCCAAAACCTAACTTGCATGTAGGTTTGTTATCTACTTCAAGTGCAGCCTTCAGCCCATATTACTATCTTTTAAAGGTAGATAGATAGGAGTTTTGACAGGTTTTTTATGTGAAATACTATGTATGTCTACTCAAAATGCAAGTGCATGGATTACTACCAGAAATTAATATTCAAATAAGTCAATCAGAAGAGCTCAACTATTCCTAGTTTTTAATCTTCCGTTCTGCAGAAGACATGATCAAACTCTACATCTGCAAGTCTGAAAGTTCTTACAAGTTTTAATTTTGAGCCTAATTTGCACAATTCAAAACAGCTTTACATCAGTAGCAGAGTAAATAGATTTGAAATTATTTTGCTTTCAGATGAGTTTCACACACTTAATGTTCAGTCATCAATGCAAAGCGCATTTAAACTTTAGTAACTTTAGACAGAATCATGAAAACATCTATGACTAAAAAACAAAGGAGAAATCTTTCTAACCAGAAAATTCACATGATTTCTAGGCAATAATACTTAGTATCTGGAAATGCAAATACATAAATGAAAAATATCAAGTGAATCAGAAAATTACAAAATGAGATAAGGCATAAACTTCTATAGGTAAGCTTTGATTGAGAATTCTTAATGCAGATGTAAATTCTTCATAATCTTATTTAATTTCATAAGGTTTTAAATTGTACAGGGCTATTTACTGCCATATCTGTAATTATGAACTACTAAAATACATATTACACAGGTGCAAGTCATTTATTATTTATCTGAACAACAAAATAACCTGAGCCTCAGTAGAACTGTTACTTTGTACAGTTGTTTTAAAAAGTAGCTAAGAATAAGGCTCAGAAACTGGAGTCACAAACTCATGACAATTTTTTATTACCCTCAGATTAAACAAAAAAACAAAACCAAAGCACACTCCAAAATATCTATTGAATTACCTCCACATTTAAGTAACATTTTAAAAGGTCTTCAGTATCTAATCTTCAGTATTAGATTAAATATCTATAAAATAAATGAACAATATTCAACTGACAGTAACACTTGAATTTCTATTTAAATTTGTTTTAATCCTATAAATAAAGGAAATATTCAAAAACATCCCAAAATGGAATAATTAAATTATCAATAATTAATCTTTCCCCCTGACGGCAGTCCAGAGTCTAAATCAGATACTTATCCAAATTTGTTTTAAAAATGATAGCAACAAGAACATTCAGGTCTTCCCTCAAAAGGGCTTTGCAAGTATAATCCACAGCACTGAACAGTGAATTTTAAAAAAACACCCAGTTTTTTCTGAGTTTCAAGTTTTTAAGCCTTGTGGACAGGGAGTAGGAAAAAGGAAATTTACTAGGCAGTACAAAGGAAATCTTCTTGTCCTCTATTGTGGCTGTGGGGGTGTTGCCCAATTCTAACTTACTGCTGTTAGAAAGGAAATAAAAAATAATAATAATTCCAAAAAAAGTCTACTAAAAAGCATTCCCTTTCTTACCTTGATCGTGCTCGCCATAATGCGATCTAGCTTATTGATCGCTAATAATTGTCAATAATAATAATTGCTTCACTCTGACCAGAAAGAAGTTTTGATGAAGTTATTTAGAGCGGATGAGATTGTGCTAACTCTGGGAAATGAAGTCAGCCAGTGGCAGGAAGAGGTTTCTATTGGTCCTGGCTACTGCAGTTTGAAGAAACAGGATATTTGGGAGCTAAGAGATAAGAGGTCCTAAAACAATGTTGTTTTTCTTGACGATATGCGGCTACAAGATTTTTTTTTTAATCTCAATTGGCTATGACAGTGTCGGCAGGTGTGATATGATGTGCAGTAAATATGACCTGCCACACTGAAGCAGGATGCAGATGTTGCATGAACTGGGCCAAATTTGATATAGGGCTCCAGGGAGAATGAAAGATTCAGGGCCAAATTTAGGTTTGAGGCAAATTGCTGTTACCTTACTGACCGCAATAGACAGCCACACACCTACAATTTCTATTTCGCATTGCCTATGGGCACAGGAAGCTTCCTGGTGCCAGGACAGATGGTTCATCCATCTAGCCCAGTGCCGTGCTCTCCAACCGGCTGCAGGGTCCTGAGCAGGAGGAGGACTGTCTCTGTTTGGTTCTTAATCCTTTTAGCTAGAGATGGCATGGATTGAATGTGAACCTTCTGAATGCAGTGCAGGTGCTCACCACTGAATCTCTCTCCAAAGGATGTGAGAAGACCTGCAGCTCTGCCACTTACTTCCATTTGTTCACCGCCCCTGCAAAGCCTCCGTTTAGTCACTGGGATGGTTAACTTAATGCCCAGCCTCTGTCTTCATCCTTCAAGGGCTACTTTAACTGCTTATTATCAATAAGGCTGGTCTGAAGTGTGTACATGATATGGAGGAAGGCAACGATGGGGGAGATTGTATTAGCCTTCAGAGGTTTGCATAGGGTGGCTTGGCAGGCTTATTTTGTCCTTTTGTAGTAAGAGATTAATAGAAGTATATTTTGGATCTTTGTTTTCTGAAGCAGCCCTGGATCCCTCTATACAATGTCCATAATTCCCAACAATTGGTAATGCTTGGAGGAAGCAGAGAGGAATTATAATCAATAACATCTGGAGGGACCTAGGTGTGGGAAGTAGTTATAAAGTGTCTTCATGCTGACCTTCTCCTCTCTCACTGCTCCACAATTATTTGTACTAGCCTGATTCAGTGGCCCTATGAGCCTAAATGAAGCTCTTAGTCTGTTTTATTGAATTCAGTTTCTTTACAGAACTGAGATTCAAGCTCCACACAAAGAGCTTTTGCTTTCCTACTATTCCTCTGTACCACTTGTAGTGCTGTGCTATTGTTCAATAAAACAATTACATAAGTAAGAAAATACATATCTTTAGCTCTTCAACCCCCACAACCCTCCCCAGAAAAACTGCTCTTTTTTAAAAAAGCAAAACGGGTCACAACATCAATTAAAGAATGCTTTAAATAATCCTGAGTAAGGCATTCTGAGCACACAATAAATATTTCATGGAGAAATGTTATTCTACATCTTTAAATGGCAAAGCATTGTGGGATAGCCTGTGTTAAGTCTGCTATCACACTGGAAGCTGTTCTCATAATGAAATACAGCAATGATAAAATTCTGTCCTTATGAGAATTACACACACACGCACACACATGCATTGATGCAAACACTATGCTTTCTGGATGGGAGAAGATCTTAATTTGGTCTGCCTTCCCCCTTACACCCCTATTCAGTTGATAATTTCCTTTGTAGTGGCTTCTATATTGTGCTGAAGATCTGATTTGTGATAGTCGGTTTCTCATGAAACTAAAATATTCAATTCTACCCGGTTTGTTGGATGAAATTCTGATGAAATAAAGACAAAGGGCTTATTTTAAGACACAATTCCAAGGGAAAAAAACATTGCATACAGTTTTTTGCCTGACCCCTCAAGTTATTTGGAACCACTCACGCTCACAGATAAAATACTTAAAATGTGCCAAACCTCAACATTTCTACTTTAGCTATATATGCAGTAAGTTTGAAACATTCCACTTCTTTTCATATGATGTGAGCTTCACCAATTAGGCAAGTCTGGGAAGCTGTGACCTATGGAAACTAGAAATATCACAGATTTGTCATAAAAAGTGAGAAAATGGTTAGCAATGGAAGTGCTATACAAAATATTTTCTCTATAAAGAGTAAGAAAATCAAAGCATCAGAAACAATGGTGATTGTTGATTTTCTAGTCTTTTCATCTCTAAGCAATGAAGATGACCAATTGTTAAACCAACCCAAACAGAGATCAAAATATTGAGGCTAAGGTACTTCTGGCAAAAGCAACAGAATTTTTTGTACTCTGGAGATAAAACTTGAAATGCCCATACTACTTTTGTAGTTGGTAATTTTATGATATATCCTCACAGTAAATTAAAAAATGAGTAAATAAATTTTCCTTCTGCACTAATCTCTCCATGTTTTAGATACAAAGAATTATGATCAAACCCTTCAAAGTGTTATTTTATATTTATAAATTATCTTGTACGTTATTATGTCAGCACTTATATTTTGCTCCTCCACTTCAAAATGTAGCATTTAACAGTGGCTAACAAAAACAAATAACATTTAAAGCACAAAACAAAAAAGACAGCATCATTTTTTAAAAAGCTACAAAAAGAAAGAATTTCCTAAGGAGGACAAAGGAAAAAACCCACAGCTGGGATGAACAAGTCAAAGCAAAGAACAAAAAATGAAAAAACAAAAAAAGCCCTTTGTCCTACAGGTATTTCTACATTCATACACTTAGAGCAAACAGCAAACAGTTTCTGTTCATAACTCTTCACATCAGGTGTATGCATTTTTGAAACTTAGTATTTTCTCAGATAGGTTAATGCATGTTTGTGCACACATTTTATAGGTATAAATTTCTCCATGCATATTTTTCAAATGTACCTGGTCTGCAAAAACTTTTTTCTCCTCTCAATTGCACCACAAGTTTGGAAATGTACACTCTGACTAAAGATTGCATTTGGATCCATTTTACAAGCTGGCTAAATTTCTTTTATCCCGATTTATAATCTGTTTGACCCACTTCCCTAGCCCTGTTCTGGCAGATCTAAGTAACTATAATGAAAGATTTCAGGCCAAGAGACTCATGTAAAAGGTAAAGGTAAAGGTTTCCCTTTGACATTACGTCCAGTCATGCCTGACTCTAGGGGGCGGTGCTCATCTCTGTTTCCTAGCCGAGGGAGCCAGCGTTTGTCCGCAGACAGTCTCCGTGGTCATGTGGCCGGCATGACTAAACACCAAAGGAACGCTGTTTACCTTCCCACCGAAGTGGTACCTTTTTATCTACTTGCATTTGCATGCTTTCAAACTGCAAGGTTTGCAGGAGCTGGGACGGAGCAATGGGAACTCACCCCGTTGTGCAGATTTGAACCAGTGACCTTTCAATCAACCAGCCCAGCAGCACAGCAGTTTAAACCACCGCACCATCTGCATCCCTTAAGAGATTCATGAGAGACATTTTAATCAATAATTAAGTTGATGTAGGAAAAGATAGTCCTTTAGATTTCCTGATTCTAGGCCTTTAAAGTCTTTAAAGGCCAAACATTTAGTTGAATTGAACCAGTTCAGAGTAAAAATGTTCAAAATGTTCAAATGATGGTTGGTCCCAATTAACAATCTGGTTTCCAGTTCTGAAACAGTTGTGTTTCTGGACCTTCTTCAAGGATGTGTTTATGTCCAAATTCAGTTCTACCTACCTTAGGACTGGATTACATAAGTACTTCATCCTTATCTCAGATCCAGCACAACTGTAATGTCATTATACCAATTATACCAGTCCATACCATCCTGAAACTTTTTGTAATAGGATGGGATAGAAAAGCTTTAAATAAATAAATAAATAAATATTAGGTGCATGCAAGCAATTGCATGGATCAATTTTAGTTGGTTTCTACCACTGATACTGACAGGCAGTTGTGTTTTGATCCTATCTCTAGAGATGATTATTTGGTGTCTTTCTATTCATAACTGATGATTTAGCTAGGGCCCAATCTATAGCAGTGAAGTGTCTCAAATCTGTTCTTCCATGAACTGAACCTTTTCTTTCCCTAATTACCTACTCTAGTTTCTGACCCAGTGACAGGAATGAAATGTCTTTGCCTTCAGTCTGCATGTGCTAAGAAATAGTGTAAAAGCTATGGATAAGGTTTAAAATAAAGTGTTAATTTTTAACATTAGAAATGACAAAGGTGATGATGCCTTCAAAGTTCCATGTATAACTGATGCTAAGCAATTAGGGCCAGATTGCTAAAGGCAAAAAGCATGTTTAGATCCAAGTGATTTCCAGGAATGTGGAGACACCTAGAGTCCATTTGGCTCCTAGGAACATTCTTAATTTTCTTTGGGTGGAAATGGAATTTGAGTGGTTTGGAAAAAATTATGAGGAGGCATTAATTATATGCCCATAGGATCACATATTTATAACACTTTGTCAGGTTGCTAACTCATTTATTTAGTTTTTCTCTTGCTTTAAAAGCGTCCCAAACTTAAAGCAGTGCATAGATTAGAACTTCAGGGGGCCCTTACCTACATTTGTCAAGCTAAGTTTATGTCTGGGCCTGCAGAATAATTATATCCTTATCAAGTTTTATCCAAACAGTTCTAACCAGACTTCCTCTTTTTGATTGACCCAGGAGCACAAAACACTTAATGCCCTCTTGGCATAAACAAATCTTTTCGAAATGAATTTCTGAAACCAAGAAGTGCTATCCTGTTCCAACCATGCTTTAAGCACACCAGTTTTCAACTGTTATCTTTGTGTCTGTGGAGCTCCATACTTGTTCACTGAGTACTACATTAGCCATGTAGAAGCCACTAAACAATATTTCCACAAATGTCACCACAGGAGCAGTGGCAATGTGTGACCTGGATCACCACACCTGCCAGCCCATTCCAAAGAAATACCTCTGTACCAGCACTAACCACTTCCAGGAATGAATGTTGCTCAAGTGCTAACTCTTATGGCACCAGGCCCAGTAAAAGCGAACAATTGCATACTTTATTGGACTCCTTGCTGCCACACTCAGCAGAGCACCTGGCTGCCAGGTGGGC